TGTGCAAATTAAATGCCATGTGTTAATTTACTCTGATATAATTGAAGTTTATTCTACCATTTGTGTATCTGGCAAAACTGTGCAGTGGTAAATAAGAAAATTATCCTCCAAGCTGAAGGAATATGTTCACCCTCGTGTGTCAGCAAACATTCCTTGAGCGAGACTCCTTGCCAAAGGCATTAAATCCTACGTTTCTCCAATACTGTTTTGTAAGTGATCCTATTTGAACTCATTCATGGTGAAATGGTAAATGGCCTGTATTTGTATAGCGCATTACTAGTCCCTAAGGACCCCAAAGCGCTTTACACGTTCAGTCATCCACCCATTCACACTGGTGATGGCAAGCTACATTGTAGCCACAGCCACCCTGGGGCTCACTGACAGAGGCGAGACTGCGCCACCGGGCCCTCTGACCTCGAACCGGCAACCTTCCGATTACAAGGCGAACTCCCAACTCTTGAGCCACGATCGCCCAATAAATAATAAGTCAGAAAGCATCTCTATAAGAACAGGTCAATTTCACAAATGCAACACACAAAACGGAGATGAATAGTCCTCTACTTAACTAATCCTGCTTGTTAAAGTTTAACATAGCAAGATGGTGGTGGTATTTTTTGTTTGAATAACATCTCTCCCTAGAATTCGCCTCACCTCAACCTACCCACTCGCTTTACGATTCACATGCAGCTGCCTTTTAGCAAAGCCTCAGGGCAGTTGACGTTTCCTGGATTAATTCCTATTAGGAAAAGAGCACTTATAGGCAGGGGGACACACCGGGGGATTCCCCTAGTGTTTTGGAATAGATTTTCCCTTCTAGACGATGATTATGGGCAAAGAGAATTTGAATGGAATGAAAAGGTTCACAGATCCATTCATACGCAGTGTGGCTGCATAAGACTGATCCTTACAACATAATATTAATGACCTTACATGTACTCTGGTCCTGTGGTCTGTATGGTTTCAAGACTTAACTCAATAGTGCAGACTGCGAGCCAGCTTGAGCAGTGTGTTTTCCTTGTGAAGATAAAACCTAATAAAAAATATAATTTTTTCTGTTAAATTAAAGATCATTTATCATCAGTTACTCCTTGTACTCTGTCTGCCCTTCATCCACTTTAGCTAGACTTCACAAACTATGGCTTAACCCAAAACCTATTCATTTAACATGTATTACTATTTGTGCCAATTGATAAGAAAAAATGTCTCTGTCTATTGTAATGTAAAGTCATACAAATAGTTTCCTTTCAATGAGCTTATGTCCCACAGAAGAATGCATCTGTCATATTTTTCAACCTAATCATTATGAAACAGAATAAAACAAATCAAATCAATATGACAAAGAACTCACTGAAACAAAAACAAATGACAGCAAATCACAACAAAGCCAAAAATATCAAGGATTGGCTAAGAACACAGCACATTACACACTGGAGTGTCTTTATTACTACTCTCCATTGTTTCACAGTATATTGGCACAGTTATCCCCTATACTCTGTCAGAGAGATTCACACTTTCCACTGCACTTTCATTTTGAAGGAATATCACCGCTAGTATGTTCTAACTTCAGCATTCACTGAGCATTGTTATCTACTTTATATTATTATGAAAAGTAGTTCACAGCTATAATTGGAAGCAATACAGTGACAAATATTAAAAATTTGCTCCCTCTGTCTCCATGACAGTTTAATTCTGATCAGTCACGACTTTTACATAATGTGTTTTGAGTCACACTGTTTAGCTCCTGAGGGCATTTTTACACACCTCAGTTTGCATCATGTGAAACACGCTGCATCTTTTCACAGCAGCTAGACTCTGGTGTAAGTTTAACCAAAAAGATACTTGTTAAAACTGAAAGCAATGTGTCATACTGCAGATTTTGGATTAGAAGCCCACATGTGCCTCGTGGATTTCACTAAAGGACATTGCCAGCCCCACTCTCCTACAGATTTTCTAAAATTTCTCCCCTGGTAATCTATGATTTAGTTTCTCACACTGCAAAGATGAGAAAAGGTACAAAAAGCTATCATTTTGTCTAAACAGCTTGAGGAGAACTCCCAGTTTGCAGTAGTTTGAAGTTTATTAAAGTGGACAGAGGTGATATTTACTTATAGATACATACAGTTTATATACAATTTAAAATAGGATCTTTGCCAAGCTGCCGGTTAGAGACCAACTATAGATACCGCAGTGCTTGTGTTGTGTGCAAACACTGACTTTGCCACAGCTCTGTACCATTTATATCAGCACTGACGGTGCATATACTTGCTGCAGCATTGTACTGAATGATAGGTGTTGTCACTGAGACAAAACCTCTCAGTGCTAGTATAGGATGAGAAGAAGTTAAAACCACCAGAAAGTCTTTTCAAACTGTTGCAACATGTCTCAGTATAATCTATGACTCTCTAAAGCTTCTGTACTGATACATCATTAAGTTAGCAATAAGACCAGACACATGCTTACCCTCATGTCTTCAAGCTCACAGTATTGACCATGGCAACTGTGTGAGGTTACAAAACAACGAACAAACAGCCGAAATCCTAGTCCTGACTCCTAGTCCCATAGGACCTTAGCCCTGTTGTGCTCAACCACCTTGGTGTCTCATATTTTGTCTTGTAGTCCATATGCAGCACAGATGTTCCTGTACACTATCCCCACCACTTATGGTTAAGGTTATGCCTTTTAGCATACAGTACATAGGCTCATAGGCTTTCTTATAGTCAGTGCAGGCATTGCTCATGTTGGTCTGCCAGATCTTAGAATCCTGGTATGTTGCTTTCAACCAAGAACTGTTGCACTGGCAACATGTTGTTATTTTAATGCCCTACTGAGCTGTGCTCATGTATCAACTCATGTGCCTACTCAGCTTGTTTGCTATGATGCCTGAGAAAAGCTTATATGCTGTGGAGAGGGAGGTAATCATCCAGTAGTTTAATGGTGTTGTGCCCTTGTGGGAATCCTTCATGGCCAGGATAGTTCTGCCTTGTGTTAGCCCCTTTGGACAAGTACCTGTTTTTAGCAACCCCCTCGCGTGATCTCAGATCATGCTATTATTTGTTGAAGATTCCAGATTTGATTCTTAGGATCTCAGTTCAGGGGTCCTTTCACAGCAGTTCACGACCACATGAGAAGTCACTCACACACACAAATATAGAATGACACACAGAGTGTTATCTGTCAAGTTGTACTTCGTGGTTGGGGTTGATGCCATTGATGAGTTTGGCATTGAGACTGGACCAGCCAATGCCATGCTCCTACAAAGACTGAAGAGAAAGACTGAAGAACAGGACAGAGTCTCCCACCCCATGCATGTAAATGTTGGTGAACTGCAGAGCTCCTTCAGTGACAGACTGCTGCATCCTAGATGCATGAAGGAGCGTTTCCGCAGGTCCTTCCTCCCTGCAGCTGTCAGACTGTACAATCAGAACTGCTCCCAACAAACATAGATGTTTACATCAATGCTGTAACTGCAATAAGTTAATTAACCAATTCGCACAACAACCTGGTTTGCCTCTTATCTGTAGTTATTTTTATTTGATTTAATAACTGTACAATACTCTGTATATAGTAACCATTGTCCTTAATGTAACTATGTAAGAAAAATTGTGTATGTTTCTGTTCTGGGTGCTGTGTACTCTCTGTTTGTATATGTGTCTTTTTGGCTGCTGTTACAACCAAATTTTCCCTTGTGGGACAATTAAAGGATTATTCTATTCTATTCTATTCTATTCTATTCTATTCTATGAAGTGCACAATGAGAAGAATCAGGAGTGTTTAATCAGAGAATGATGAATTCTACAGCTGTGAGGGATGACTCTTTGTGTTAGTCAAGTCATAGACTTATAAATTCCCACTCTCTGGGGAAATTAGGCCACTGAGGTCACTGTTGTGCCATAGGCAGCACAGAAATATCTAATGATAGTGCATGTGTCATCAGTGCAGCTTTTATAACATAACACAGAAAAATACAAGGAAGCAAAACAGGAAGATCCATAAATCATTTTCAGAAAGGACTTTTTTGCTGCATGGCTGTTGGTCCGATGAGAATGCTGTGCAATGTCACTGAAATCACCAAAGCAAGATATTGCTCTGTCCAATAGCTTACACTAGTAAACAATTAGCCAATATATAACTGTTCATTTCTTGTAATTTATTAAGTTAATTACCCTAACTACCACCTAATGACTCTGCTGAAGTTCACAATTGTAGTACTTTATCCACTCAAACCAAAATGTCATGTCTGAACTATAAACTGGCTGACAGTGTTGTTGTTGTCGTCAAAGTAATTAAAAATGCAAGTTATTCAATGAGATGACCTTTAGCTTATAGAAATATCTTTCTACAAGACAAGGTTGTTTAAATCTGTATGCTTATTTCAGTGAAAAGCCACAAAGTAAGAGCCTCAAATAAAGTAAGTTTCAGACTCAATGAAATAAAAATAGAAATGCTCTTTTTTTAAGTTGTCTTCAGTATCCCACTTGTGGCAATTTCTGTCAAACATTTCATTTGCAGGGACCACATCCTCAGTTAGATTGACGGTGTTTCATGAAAGAGAGTGGCTCCTGGGCTGGGCAGATTCCCATGTACTAACGAGAGGCTTGAGAACTGAGACAAGGGGAGCAGGGTGGAGCACAAAAATGCAAAATAAACAGCCTATAGAGCAGGAAGGTGTATGTACTCATGGAAGGTGTGGTCCCACCCTTGAAATTCAGATAAAATATCTCGAATTTGTTTATCTGCTGATACGTTTTTGCTGGTCATACTATTACCTGAAAATCCAAGGAAATTAATTAGCTATCAGTAAATATGCTTGTATCACACTAATTGCATGTCCACTTAACCATGTATATACCAACCATGAAGCCTGAGGACAAACTTGCAAGTAAGATGAATAATTGTAATAGAGAAGAATCAGTTAAACATGCTCTACATGTAGGGAAAAAATATGTGAAGGTGAACTCACATCTTCTTTTCCTTTGTGTTCTTCTTTCTTGTCATGGCAGAATGATTCCATCCAGCAGCAACGACTTCCTGGTGCGGGACCTCGCTGCTGGACGTAGCTATGATCTTTGTGTCCTGGCCGTGTTTGATGACGTCATCACATCGCTGACTGCAACTCGTCCTTTGGGCTGTCTGTCATTTACCACAGACACAGAGTTCAGCCAGTGCCAAGCATTGCACAGCCACTTCTTGGGTGGTACTATGATCATCATCATTGGAGGGATTATTGTTGCTTCTGTGCTTGTTTTTATTATCATCTTAATGATACGATACAAGGTTTACAGCCACCAAGGTGCAGGCCATGGAAAAGCAGCCATCACTGCGACTGCGCCAAGACCGCAGAGCAATGGACAAGGAGGCAGTCAGGTCCAAGTCCTTCCTCGCTCTGCCTCAAAGATGACTGACAGTCATGACGACCAAGTCCTCGGACCGTCCAGGGCAATGTCGCCTAGCAACACTCTGCGAGACACTGTCACGTTGGTCGAGGAGGAGAGCAGTGGACAGAGCCTAATGACAAGGACTGACTCGTCAGCAAACGAGGAGTTGCTCTCACCCACGAAGTCCCGCTTCTCCTCCAGGGTCGCCATTGAGATGAAAATTCGACCGCCATCTGTTGCCAAAGAGCCCACCTCTCCCAAAGAACTGGCAGGTATTAGAGAGCTAGTGGAAAAGACACAGACATAGTAAATTCAAGCAACTGAGCAGAGTTTAGAGAAAGTAAAAGTTGACAGAGTAGGAGTGGGGAAAACGTGGAAAGGAGGGACACAAAAAAATTCGGTCAAACAGGAAAAGCTGGTGGATGAGAAATAGACAATGTGAAATTCAGGGTGTAAAACTGAGTAAGATAATAATGAAGAGAAGAGCATTGTGTGAATGAGAAAATGAGTACGAGAGATCCCATTCTAGTGCACTAGAATGAAAGTAAGAGAGAGACAGAGGGTGAGACAATTCATCAAATTTCAGTCTGTAGGGCTGCAGCAGCAACTCAAGTTGTTTTTAAATCTCTTCTGTATGATTGCATATTCCCTTTTTCCAAAAAATGAATGGAAAAAAAGTCTTGAATTAACCTTCCTATAGTGAACTGAAAACCTCCCCATGCTCATTTATTTGTGTTTTCAGCTCTTTCCAAATGCCAGACTTCTTCTGTTGAACGCTCAGAAGGGGTACATGCTGACTCAAAGTTTTTAAATTTGTGAAGAAGATGAAGAATGATGCTGCAACTTTGTTGCCAAAATTTTAGGTTTTTTTAGTTTCTGGAAAGCTTGGCTAGACAACAGATAATAACCAAATAAATCTTTATGTTTTTGTGTTAGAGGAGAGAGGGATTTGATAATGCATGTGGGAGTACCTGTCACACATTATTCCAGTTAACACCTCTCACATTAGAGCGCTGCAAACTATTAGTCTTTAAGCACTCCAAGAAAGCCTGCTTGCCTTTAGAAATGACACATCCCAAGTGCTAAAGAGTGAAAAAGCTACTTCAGTACAAAAGAAAGGCTGTATGCACTGGCTTACATTCAATATCAAGCTGGAAAAAGCCCAAGTCACTTATAAAGTTAAATGTGACTTCAATAGCACTGAATGCTAGATCTGTTGGG